AAGAATTTAGGAGAGAGATAATTTGAGATTAAGAGAGGGAAATTTAAAGAAATTAAGGTCAACGTTGTAAGTAGATACCGAAATCCTTGATAGTTAGATAAACTTGGGCAAAATTAAAGTGATTTTAATGTGATATATCAGAGTAATATGGACAAAACATAGTCAGGAGGACTGCCTGATCACATATATTTATATATATTCATATGCTTTCCACAAAGTTCATGGAAGATGTGTATGGATTTCAAATTTTTTTTCTGCACTAAAATAAACTGATTAATTTTTCACAACTTTTTTGAAATCCCCTCATATATAACCTTATGATAATTAATTTTTTCAACAAACTCTCAGAGTGTTCTGTGTCTTGTATCATGCAATAAGATTGTTAAGTCACTGAAGTTAATTATTTAAGTATGCCACCAAATAATGAGTGCCGCTTGGATGTACAGGTGACTCGGTTGTTGTGGCCCCTGCCCAAACACTCTCCAATGCGGAGTTTCAGATGTTGAGACGTACTTCAATCAATGTTGTTCGCCACCTGGGCATTGTGGGTGAATGCAACATTCAGTTTGCCCTTCATCCTACCTCAATGGAATACTGCATCATTGAAGTGAATGCTCGCCTGTCCCGAAGCTCTGCCCTGGCCTCCAAGGCCACTGGGTAAGACTAGAATGATATGGGTTTGTAGATTCTTCACAAATAGAAATGGAAAATTGATAGCTAGTGGAAGACTGTGCTGCATTTACAAACTATATCCTTCAAATCTGTATGTGAGCCCGAAATCATTTATAGGACCCTAAGGATGTGTTATTAATGAGCTTGCTGCCAGATTGAGGCAAATGGTATTGCTAGCTGGCTTTGTTTGCTAACTAATCATAAACTAATCAGAATCTGGGTGGTCAAAAGCAGGCTGTGAAAAATCTGCTTCTTAATTGCACTTTGCAGATGTTGTTAAAAAGTGCAAATTAATCCTTAATTTTAGTTCTCAACTGGTTTCTCCAGGTGTATGGCCCTATAGCAAAGAATTGATACAAAAAATAGTTCACTCTATTCAAGGATTCAAAACACATTACTTTTAAAATTTAGGAAAAGTCTACAAGACTAAATAGTGTAAAATTTTTCTATAGGTAAATGCTATAATCAAATAAATACATTATCTTATTATTTAAGAACTGCTGGCAAGCATAATTGGAGGAAAAATTAATTAAAACCTTTGTTTCTATTAATATATTTAGCATCTTTCATTTAAATTACATGGAATATAAAACATTTACTTTTATGAGTTTTTTTTTTTTTAATGTAGCTAAACAGTACTTTATGGAGTGGAAAAAACGTGTTATTCTGTGCAGGAATAACAAGACCTGAGTTTTCATTTGATTTTTCCAATTACTATATGATGTTGAGCATGTTACTTTGAGGATTTTGTCTATCAGTTTTCTCATCTATTAGAAGTGAGGGGGTTTCATACCAAAACACTAAAGAAATTATATTAAATTCTAATTTCTATGAATTACTTTCTCAAAATGAGTAAAAGTGACATTCTAGTTGAAGATAATCAAGTTTCCAAAGTGTTAGCTTTGTAAGGAGTCCAAAGATGAGACGGAACAGAGCCTCAAACTTGCAATGTCTGCATTTTCTGAGTCATGCATACACTGTAGTATGAGTTGACCCCCTTGCCTTTCTTAGTACATGTATGTATATATTTTTTCAAAAGACATTTTGTAGATTATAATTTTAGTGGAGGTTATACATAGTGGAGGTTAAATCTTATTTATCAAGCAAGCTATTGATTTGGGGTGGAAGAGGTAAAGGTTGGGAGTTACAGCAATGCTTATCACACATAGCGAATTGTCCTGGGATCAGTGCCTCTATACTTTATCAGGACTCGTGTTATTTTATGAGTTGGTATTAAATGCTCGTCAGAGAATCTGGTAAATATCATACCTTGGAGTGAAAAATACTGTTATTTCTTTAAAGAACTTGTTTTTGAGCAGTCTCCCATACTTACCGCTCAAAGGAAAAAATAAAATTTTCTCCTTTGTAGCTACCCATTGGCATTCATTGCTGCAAAGATTGCCCTAGGAATCCCACTTCCAGAAATCAAGAATGTTGTATCAGGGAAGACATCAGCCTGCTTTGAACCTAGCCTGGATTACATGGTCACCAAGATTCCTCGCTGGGATCTTGACCGTTTTCATGGAACATCGAGCCGAATTGGTAGCTCTATGAAAAGTGTAGGAGAGGTGAGTCCTTGGTTTGTTCCTTGTTTCTCACTTGTTCTCAGTTACTTTGTCAAGACTCAAAGGTTTTTTTTCCCCTTTATTCATGTATTTATTGTTCACTTGTTCACATTTTGAATCACAAAAGACTATTCTGTGCTTTTTATATAAACTCTTTCCAGGTTATGTTGATCCAGTATGTTTTATAAATAAGCACCATGTTTTTCTGGAGAGACTACAAATCCACATAACTGTGAGTTGGTTCTCTCCATCCATATATATACTTCACCCATCATTTCCTTCATTTACTAAGAAAACATGCATTTCTATAATTACAATAATAGTTTATTTTAGGCATAGGTTTGTAACCCCAGACATTTTCTTTTTTCCTTTTTTAGTATTTTTTTTATTTTAAATGTATTTATTTATTTCACATTCTTTCACTGAATATCATCACAGCATACACAATGCAATTTCCTTTCCAGAATATGCTGTATAGTGTCTTAATCATACATGTTATCATCAACAAATAATTGTCCATTTCTTGTTTTTTGTATATATATTTTTTCTTCCTATTTTTCACTGTCTGCCATTTCTCACCCATCTCTTTTATCTGCAGTTGCTTTCTATCCTTTTAAAACTTTTTCCCACATTGTTTTAGAAGCATTTGATTGTTATACATCATTTGGCTTATAAAGAGAGTTTACCCAACATGAAATACACATCATACCAGTCCAGTTGAGAACTATACACATTATTATCAACAGGCAATAAACCATTTCTGTGTCCCACAAAGGCCTTGCCTCTCTATTTTTTTCTCCCTGATTTTCTTCCCTATACTCTTCCCTTTTCCCACCCTCCCTCCACACTATTTCCAGTGTCCATAACTATTTTCATTGCTTTTATTTCCTCCAATCTTTTGATCTCTACCATAGAGTGCAGACAATTGTTATATATTAAGTGGAGACATACAGTATCTCTTTTACATAGCCTGGCTTGCTTCACTCAGCAATAAATCTTCCATATTCAATCACTTTCTATAAAATGCCAGGGTCTTGTTTTTTATGGCTGAATAGTATTCCATAGAGTATTGTGCCACACTTTTTCAATCCATTCATTTGTTCATGGACATTTGGGTTGGTTCCATGTCTTAGCAATCATGAATAATATTGCAATAAACATTTGATGTGCAAGTGCTTTACTGACTGAGCATTCTCCTGTCCTTTGAGTAGATACCCAGGAATAGAATTGCTGGATTATATGGTGGTTCTATTTGTAGGTCTTTGAGGAATCTTCACATTGTTTTCTACAGTGGCTAGACCAATTTACATTCCCACCAACAGTGTAGGAGAGTTCCCTTTTCACCACATCCTGCAAACACTTTTCATTTTTTGTATTTTTAATCTTTGCCATTCTTGGCAGGGTTTAGGTGGTATTTCATTGTGGTTTAAATCTGCATCTCCTTTATAGTGAGTGATGTTGAGCATTTCCTCATATGCTTTTTTGCTGTTTATATGTCTTCCTTAAAGAGTTTTATGTTCAGCTAATCTTCCCATCTTTTAATTGGGTTAATCTTTTTTTTTTTCAGGTAAGTCACTTGATTTCCTTGTGTATTCTGGTTACCAGTCCCTTATCTAAGGCACAATTTTTAAAAATATGCCCTCATTCCAAGGGTTGTTAACACTAATATGTCCTTTGCTGTGCAGAAATTTCTTAATCTGATGTAATCTCACTTGTCTATTTTGGGATTATTGCCTGTGCTTTGGGGGTCTTAATTAAGAAGTCTTTGTCTACCCCAATGTCTCCAAGTTTCCCCAATGTTGTCCATGATGGTCATTCAACCAAAAACATAATAAAATTTTCACTCAATAAAGCAAATTTGAATACTATTAAGTTTAAAAAGATACAAATTTTGGGTAAACATTAAAATTTATGCATTTTTTAGTATGCTTTATTCTTTTCAATTGAGTGGATCTCTTATACCACTATGTGCAATGAGTTTATGAACAGTAACAATATATGAAGAATTATTTATAGAACTAGTTAATTTGGGGGCAATTTTAAATATACATTACTTAAAATTTTATTAAATATCTAAAACTATTTTTGTAGTTTGTATAGCACCATAAAACATGATCTCTGGCAGTCTCTTCACGCTTATACACGAAAACCTGTAAACATACTGTCTAATTCTTCGAGATACCACTATGACTTGCAAATTGCATATCCGAATTGGACTAACATTTTGTTTATCCCTGCCTTTGTGAATCTCCTGTTATTTCTAATTAAATTTGGAACAGTGTGAAAAGGTTATCTGTTTGGCTTTAGCAATCTTTGAATATGTATCTTGTCACACTATTGACATGAAGATTTCCTAAACTGACATTAACGGGAGATTGAGTCTGTTTGAAGACTCATAGAAGCTTACTGAAGGTAATATTTTGACTATTGTTATTTTAAATTAGAGAGCAAAAATGCATAGCAATCTATTATTTCATGGAAAGATTCAAAGGCAATGTTTATCCAGTAAAAGTAACTGGGTAGGCTGCAAGGCGAATTTAATTTTATCTCTGACTTACAACTTGTCCACACTAAATCATCACACAGTTTTTTAACTGACTAGTGTACAATCAGCTGTAAAGATTGTGGGAAGACACATTGACGTTCTCATGGGGAATTTAGTCTCCACCTACTTTCAAAATTGTAATCTATCAGTATTTTCAAGTTCTATTAATATTAATGCAATCTATAAAGAAAGCCAACCTGTTCTGGATACTCAGATACTCAGTTCTACTTTGATGATATGCGTGTCTGGTTTCTCTTTATTTGTTTTATATTCTAAAGGGCATTTGCATAAGAGCAAGATCTTATTATGAAGGATCTGTATGCTCTGCTCACATATTCTTTATTTTATTACTGTGTCCCAGAACAGCTACAGGTGATTTCCTCATCTATCTCAGCAAATGCAGCTGAATTCCTAGTGGTAACAGACTGACCTAATATCAAAAACTCATTATGCTGGGACCAGCAGTTAGCGTAATGGCTATCTTGCTGGACTCCCATGTAGTCAACTGCGATTCGAGTCCTGGACCTGGTGACTTAAACTCATGCCGGGTGCGTGTGTGTGCATGTCCAAGATCCCGAGAGGAGAATGGAGGAGAGGGGATTGCAGCGTGACCATCCCTCCTGGCGGGTGATTTCTTGCTTTCTATCTCTCTGTCTCTCTCTGTCTGTCTGGTGAGTGCATGTGCCCTATAGCAAAAACCTCTCCAAAAAAACAAAAACAACTTATTATTCTAAAATCATGGAGAAAGAAAGGAAAAAAACAAACAGACAAATACCACCATCCCCAATTTGAGTAGTGTTGATACATTTTTTATTATTATATCTTTTCTGAAAAATTCCATACTGAGTTTTGTTCCAAGTGAAAAATATATAATTTTCAATATGAGCTCTTAAATGTGTATCTATATTACAGGTCATGGCTATTGGTCGCACATTTGAGGAGAGTTTCCAGAAGGCTTTACGGATGTGCCACCCCTCTGTAGATGGTTTCACTCCCCGTCTTCCAATGAACAAAGAATGGCCTTCTAACCTAGATCTCAAGAGAGAGCTTGCTGACCCATCCAGCACCCGCATCTATGCTATTGCCAAGGTAATGTGAGACAGGGTGCCCAGAGCTATAATTTTATTCAGAATATATTCATCTTCAACTTCAAACTGAAACTGAATCTCAAAGTGCTCTTGAATGAAGGAATTTCATTTTCTGAAAAAAAAGGAACTCTTTTTAATAGCATCAAACTGGAGTAGACCATGGATTTCATTGTTTTTCTATCATTTAAAAAGTATCTCTCTCTCTTTTTTTTTTTTTTTTTTGAGAGAGGTTTTTACTATAGGGCACATACACTCGCCAGAAAGAGAGAAAGTGAGAAATTAACCTCCCAGGAAGGATGGGCACACTGCAATCCTTTCTTCTCCAGTCTCCTCTCAGGATCTTGGGCATACACGCACATGCGCCTAGAATGAGTTTAAGCCACTTGGTCTTGAACTCGAACCGGGTCAACTACATGGGATTCCAGGGACATAGCCATTATGCCAACTGCTGGTCCCAAAATGTACCTCTTTTTTAAAATTTGATTTTAAGCCTAGAGCTAAGGACACTGTGATTTTAAGGGATGATCATGTAGAAAATATGTCTTTTCTTTTAGCATATGTAGCATCAATATTTTTAAGTGGGTTTGGCAACATTGACATGTCCTTCCCTATCACCATTATTAGTTCCTTCAGAATGTGTAAAGTTATATTTTAGAAAGATGCATACAATAGTATCAATTAATATGTACTGTCTAAGAATTAAAATAATCTTTTTTTTTTGCTTATCATTCTGTGTTTAACAATAGCAACAGATTATAAAGGACCTTCATGATTATAGGTGTTTCCATGTAATTATTTTATGAGTCTTATTTTTAGGGTAAAAAGGCCTCATATTTCTCGCTTTTACCACTAGTTCCTTTGCATGCAAATTAAATGTCATATTAATCCCCTTCTATATTTACTGTGCTTAGAGTTTTGAAGTTTCAGCTCATTTGGTTTTATAAAAGGTGACTGGGGCAGCTGGGATCTATCGGGTCAGAAATCCCTGAATGGCTTTTTGACATTTAAGAAAGTGCAGATGTTAATCCTCCAACAGTATCAAACCACACTGAAGCTACAAAGCCCTGCTGGGCAATTTGTGTGTGTGTGTGTGTGTGTGTGTGTGTGTGTGTGCGCGCACACACACGTACATGCACATGTGAACACATGTGCAATGGATTGATGAAAATATGCATTTTTATCTTTAAAAAAGGAATTTATCTTTGTAATTTGCCTTTGTAGCCACAGAAAAATGCTTAGGTGATTTTAAACCCCCTGCAACTTTTATGTCCATATATTGAGAGTCCTGGGAGAGAGGAAAGAAAGGAGATCATGTATATTCCCTTCACTCTTATAGTTTCTAAATGTAGAATATCTTGAAATTCTAGGCAATATTATTATCTTTTGATGAACATTTTTCGATGTTGAGTTTCAAAGTAATTAACATTTCCCATCGTGGTGGTGTAATGAGGAGAGGTTATTCTAGAAAACCATTTCATTTCCTTTATTGTTCTTACTTCAGACCTTTGTTTAAAAAGCGATCCATTGGGGCCAGCTGGTGGTGTGGTGGTTAAGGCACTCACCTCCCATATGGGTGACCCTGATTGGAGTCCCAGACCCAGTAACTTAAAACACACTAGGCACATGTGCATGTGTGTCCAAAATTCCAAGAGAATGGAGGAGAAGGGATTGCAGCATGACAACCCCCACTAAGGGTGGTTTCTCACTTTTCCTCTGTCTCTGTCTCTCTAGCGAGTGTACTAAATCCTAAAGAACCAAAAAGCAATCCACAACATGCACGTAAGTGTACACACACACACACATACACACACACACTTTCTTTCTCAGGGAAAGGACAGTGTATGGATTTTTTTTTCCCCTTAAGTTTAGCAAATGTTTCTGCCACTTTAACACAGGTGAAAAGGGAAGCATTTCCAAGTTCCCACCTAGGCTGTAAAACTCAAGCAAAATATTTCATTCTTTTCTAACAAACTCATAAAGGATGAGAATTCATGGAAAATGTGTGGAGGCTTTTTCTTGCACGGAGTACCCCATGTCTGAGCAAGAAGTGCAGAGTCTGAGATATAAATTATTGTCTGCCCAGACACCAGGAGAAAGAACTGATTTCTGTTTGTTAGAGGTCATCATTACCGTTCATTTCCACAGCAACCAGAACTTGGTGATTTTGACAAAGAATGTAAGGACTGTGGAGGGCTGAAGGGGAAAAAGAATGAAGGGTGTGTGTAAATCTTTGCTTGCTTTCATGATTCTTAGAAAAGGGCAACTCGCTCTGAGGCCTTATTTTTGCAGTGGTCTTATTTCAGAATGACTGGATCATCACCTCTTTTGATTGGTGGAGAATTCAGGCATTATTTTTTTATTTGGGGAACATTAAAGTAACCTCAAACTTGTTTGGGGTCATTATGGACTTCATTATTGTGATGTGACAGGACAGAGCTGCAGTGCTCAAAGATGAAGTCCTGAAACTGGCAGGATCTTGCTTTCTGTTAGAAACTTACAGTGAAATGACTACAGGATTCTCATTCAGTTGCTGAGTGATCACTGTGTGTAATTGTGAGAAAACCTCATATGGTCTGCTGAAAGTCTCAGACACCTCAGGTTGCATCCCACTCACAGTGTTGACAACCAGCAACTAATTTTGCTTTTAATCACTTAGAAAGTAAGACAATGAAATCCTTGGGAACCTGACTGTAATTACAGGGAGAATTTAACAAAAGAAACATAAATAGGCAGGAAATGAACACAGCTTTTAGTTTTCCTGTTAGCTGTCATCTAAATCTAGTCAACTGAATTATGAACCACAAGATATCACAACACTTAATAGTTTAGTCTGACACTAGAAGTCAGTAAAAGCTTTGAGAAAGCCAAACATCTGAGGTTAAACTATAACAACAGAGTTACTACTGGGTCGTTGGAAGAGTCATGATGCATTTTGCATAGAAAAACATGTCATGACTTTCTCAGCCACCTAATACAACATGTGTTCCCTAATGGGATATAAAAGTACAGTGTATCATTCTAAAATATGTTGTTTTGAAATGTTACCTGAGTATTATTTTTCACCATATATGTATAATATATATATATATGAGAATAAAAATCTTTTGAGTATGAAAGTTTCGGTTTTGAGAGTTTCTCCCTTCTTTCAGTTGCCTTTTCTACTCAGCTTAATGGCCCATAGTTGTAATTTTACTTTTAAGAAAATGCTAAAGTAAGCTTGAGGAAAAGGCTGAGCCTATAAGAACAGAAGTTATTAATACATTGTTCTAGAATATATTAGGATGCTGTGAAATCCCTGTCTTAGAACAAAAGTCATAATAACTAATTCAAAATAGTTGCCTGTTTGAAGTTTTCTGTGAGAAAATATTCTAGAGAAATAGTGCCACACCAGACTTGATCATATATTCTCACTGACTACTACTGCTCCATGTTCAGGTGAATGTGGAATGAGGTGACAAAAATTTTCTAATTGCTGAAGGGTTACTATCAGAAGCACTAGCCTAAATGAACAGTATATTGATTCTAGATTTTCTTACCAGTTTGACTTAACTCTAGTTTTAAGAGATTCTCTGTAACTCCAAAGAGATGTACCAAATATAGGCCATAACTGGTAACATGATCAAAGAAAGAGAAGGGGGAACCCGCAGTTAGCATAATGGCTATGTCACTGGACTCCCGTGTAGTCGATCGCGGTTCGCGTCCCAGACCCGGTGGCTTAAATCTCACACCAGGCGCGTGTGCGTGCGTGCCTAAGATCCCGAGAGGAGAATGGAGGAGAAGGGATTGCGGCGTGACCGTCCCCCCTGGGGGGTGATTTCTCGCTTTCTGTCTCTATATCTCTCTCTGTCTGTCTGGCAAGCACACGCGCCCTATAGCGAGAATCTCTCCAAAAAAAAAAAGAAAGAGGAGGGAGACAGCCTGTTTGGAGCTTCTCTCTCTGCACACTTCACTCTGATAAGTCAGGGTAGGCACCTCCTCTCTACACCAGTTGTGGATGTAGTTGGTAGCATCTTTGAGTTCATTGGAAGGAATGTGAGTGATGTTAGTGTTATGTTTCATATCTCGGATTCTAGTCTTTGACTTTCTGAATAACATGGAGAGGGTTGGCGGCTCTGTGTTTTCAACAAAGTAAGACATTTATAAGTGTTTGTCAAAGACGGTGTTTCTTCTTTTGGCAGGCCTTGGAAGACAACATGTCCCTTGATGAGATTGAGAAGCTCACATCCATTGACAAGTGGTTTTTATATAAGATGCGTGATATTTTAACCATGGAAAAGACACTGAAAGGGCTAAATAGGTAAGGCAATATTGTTTGGATTCACTCCAGATAGCTTCTGTGTAGTTTTTTGAATAGTCTTCTTTTTACCCTTAAGCATTTGTCCAAAATGCTGCTTTGATGAGGTAAATAGTGCCAATGTTGGAAAACAGTAGCTGTAGCTAGAAGACTAGTGACAGTTTTTTCGGTGTGTACCTTTTGAAAGGTATCTATTAATGTGTTTTGTTATCTTCTACTCCCATTCTTGTCATCAAACATAGAGATGGTTTTTTTAGGTCTTTTAAATTCATGAAGATTGGTATCATTTATGAATGCTTGTGTTATTTAAGTATAAAATATTACCTAGATTTATTAGTCAAGAACGAAATACTATTCCTATTTTCTACAGTTTTTCTTCTAAGTTTGGAGGCCTGTCTTCCCTTTCAACATCAACCTAGATATCACTGTATATTGATGAGAAAATGTGTTCGTTTGCATTCTACTGATATTTTTAACATTAGGACTTCTAGTTCAGCATATAAATAAGTCACAATCACGTTTCTGTTAATATTAAGACTCTTTACCTCTCGCTAATTTCCATTTTTATCTCTTTCATGGCCAATTATTTTTAAATTTCGTTTCATGTTGAGAATATTATAATAATGTCAGTGCTTTAAAAATTTGCTTTTTATTTTTTATAATGAGACTGTTTGCTGGGAACCACAGGTTTTTGAAATCATGGGTAGGTTTTTAACATGTGTCTTTGATAAGAGAAGCATTTATTATCAAATTTAGGAAGACAGTGCAGTCCTATTTAGCTACTCTCCTTTAAGAGGGCTTAAAAATACACTACAGTTGGGAAGAAGTTTTACCTACAAGCCTAGGGATATGATTAGAGAGGAGAAAATTTTTGTTTGTGCAATTTGTTCTCAAATGATTTGAGAAAATGTCGAATATTTAATCACTTTAACATGTTTTTGAGGAGAGTGGAAAAATTCAAAGCCTGTATTTCTTAAGTATCATGGGGAAAGTCATGATACATTTTTGCATAGAAAAATCACAAAATATTACATCATGACTTTTCCAACGACCTAATAATTTAGCAACTGTTATATATGGCTGGCTTTCTGTATTTGCCTCATTAGGATGTGAAAAAACTGGGTATAAAGACAACTTTTTTTTTTCTTTTGTTTAAAGAGACAAGTTTTTGGAGTTTATTTGGAAGAGAAAAAAAATTTTTTCTGGAAAAGCAATACTTGTATTATGACCATTACTTTTTTGGTTGCTATGGATTTTACCTTTAGTTGGTACTTTTTCCTGTCTTTAGGGAAGGCTTTCACCTTGTTTAAGGTTGGCAAAAGTTTAAGTCAATTAAACAAGTCATGGAAACAATTTAACTATTATTCTCTAATTGATTAAAATGGTTTTCCTTTTCTAAACATATTATTTATTTATTTATTTATAAAATTTATTTGATACATTCAGTCACAAGATGTAAAATGAATTTTCCCAGCTTAAATACACTGTACACCAGCCCAGTTAAAGATATTATATGTTATCATCAACACACAATCTTTCATTTCCATGTCCCTTAAATGTCTTGCCTCTCCATTTTTCTCCTTTGTTCCCTTCTTCTTACCCTCCCTCACCTCTCACCCTCTTCCTCCACTGTCTCCAGTATTCACAACTCTTGTCCATGCTTTTATCTCCTCCAGTCTTTCAGTTTCTGCCACAGAGTGCCGATACTCAGTGTATATTAAGTGAGAACGTAAAAAAAAAATTTTTGAAACAAAATTAGTTTTCAAAAATCTATTCAATAATTGCCCATGTCAAATGCTCAGTTCTGAAAATTTGAGATTTCTATCTGACAAAGATGAAGCTAGCTATAGTTGCTTATGTCATTTTTTCTGGAGATTATATAAAATGAACAATAGATGGCAAATAGGTTAAGAATTGAGCCTATTCATCCATCTTAGAATTTTGCTGACTTAAGGTTTCCTTTCTTAGTTTATGATGCCAGCAGAACTTCCATGCTGAATAATAGTCTGCCTTACTGTTTCCAGTTTCAGGCAACTGATTTCAAATGCTTACGAAATCACTCCAATTTTTAAACCACAGGAGGGCGCTAGAAACTTACAATATGGCAAATGCAGCAGTGGAAGAGACCTGGGGTGGGAAACAGCAGATGTTATTGTGATTTAAATTTCCACTTGATATACATTCTGATTTTTGGACATCTTCAATGTTTAATTGAATAGTTTTTGTTACAACCAGAAGGCAGGCTGAGATCCTAACTAAGCATAAACAAGTGTATATTGATAGTGGAAAAGTCCTTGGAGGATAAGAACAACTCACTGTTATAGATCGCTTCTAATATTGTTCTGACTTCCACAATCTGTTGCATTTATTTGCTGATAATTTGACATTTTCAGTCTTTATTTTCTGACATAAACGTATTTTTAAATAGAAATATTTTCTATTGTTCATCATGACTTACATTAAAATTGTTTATATAAAGCTTTAGATAAGTTAAAATTTTCCATAAAATGATATTTAAAAATTATGTATCTCCTGCCTAAGTTTGTTCTGATTCAGGAAGGTTGAAGTCACTCTTACAGAGCAAAAGCTGAAGTAAACTCAATGTGGAATTCAACAGATGGTCTATGGCATTAGGAAAGCTAAACCCAAACTCATTATCTGAATGTTACTTTCCTGTTTACTTCTTTTCTTACTGGAATGTCATCAATGTGTGCAGAGCAATTTGATAATGATTGTTGCTTGATGTGATAGATAAATAACAGGAGTAGAAGCTACCTGTCTCAACAATCGTGAGGCACATAAGTGTTTGAAGTTGAAAGGATATCAGAGCTGATGAGGTATAATGTATATAGGACTTGAATTTCTTTGGCTTCTTTGATTATTCTTACCATTAGCTTGGATCATTGAGTCCTCTGCAAGGTCTCTAAATATCCAGGGGGACTTAGTCCAAATACTACTTGTTCTAATAAAGGCTATTTTATGGTTTTAGATATATGCATTTGAAGATTCATGGTTTAGAGTCACAATTTGAATTTGTTTATGTATTTTGCAACATATAGTATCTTAATTTTCTTTATGATGCATTATCACTTATTTTAATATCAGACTGATTTTATTTTCAGAGATATATTTTTGCTATAGGGCATACATGCTTGCTGGAGAGACAGAGACAGAAAGAGAGAAATCGCCCCCAGGGGAAATGTCCATGCCACAATCCCTTCTCTTCCATTCTCCTTTTGGGATTTTGGGCACACACACACACATGTGCCACTGTTCTCTTCCCCCAGCCCTCTAGTTCATCATGATTTTAGGCAGATTTCAGGTCTAATGGGCTGGGGATATGAACCTGTGGTTGAACATGTTTGCCTTCTAGGATGGCAGCTCAGCAGGCTACAATTCTTGAACAGAGCAGTGGAAACCCTCAACAGTCTGGAGCAGTGACAATTCTTAGTAACACAGGTGATAACCATTGTTCAGACAGCTTTAATGAGAAACTTATCTTTCCCACCTGAGTTTATCAACTTTCTTCTTTTCTTCTTAAAATTTTTATTGAGGCCCTAGGGAATGCTGGCAAGTTGACCATTCTGGACAGTTCCTCAGATTTATAAGCTTGTATATTGGCATTCATCGATTTAGGGTGATAACATACTTACAGTAGGACTTCTTAGGGTTTGAAAAGTTTCTCTTTATTCGTGTGATGTGACTTGTGCCAGATTCCAATGCTTTCTTACATATTTGTAAGATTTTGGATATTTAATCATCAGCAATTATCTATTAACGGCACATTACCAGATCACACTGAAAGGAGTTTAAGAAAGGTCAAGTGGTTTTAAACTACAATATGCATAAATAAACTATCCATTGGTCTTCACTGCTAAACTATACAGACTTTAGTCTGTGTATTTTTCCCATACTTACTCATGCTACCAATGTCTTCTCCTTCACACCTTATTCTTCCTCTACAGCGTGTTCATAAATACTAACGAAAAATATACTTACTTTGATCTATTCAAAATGTTGTAAATATCTCATCTGTAGTTTTCTTGGCCATTAGTACCTAAGCTAAATTTTAATCATATAATTAAATCTAGTTGGAGAGAGAAACTACCAGAACCATAAATAAATATATCAAATGTCTTCATCCCTAGGTTCTCCTGATAGAATTGATTCCCTATACTAACAGAAGAATAGATTTAAGACTCTCTTAATACAGAAACTTAAATTTTGGTACAATTCAATAAGTTTGAATGCCTTTCAAATGTAAAATTATCAAAATTGTCCCAAGTACATATTTGTTTAGTTTTTACCAAGACATTAGAAAGCCAATAATTATCCAAATTGTATCAATAGTAAACTGAGGTACTAGAAGTTCAGCAATTTCTTCCACATCACGTACTACTAAATTTTGATCTCAAAAAAATTGAGATCAAAATCTGAACAGGACTGGACAGCTTAGGTTTTTGATATTCAACTCATGTGTTTTGTGTTTGTGTGTGTGTGTGTGTGTGTGTGTGTGTGTGTGTGCATAGTGGCTCTTTTAAAAATTCATGGAAAATGTGTATCATAAAAAAAACTATGCATGAATTTCAAAATTTTTTGATATCAAAATAAACTCATACTTTAATTCTATTTTTTCAAAAATAGATTGCCAGAGGGTGCATGTGCTCACTGGAGAGAGAGAGAGAGGGCAAGCAAAAAAGCACCCCCCATGGGTGATGGTCATTTTACAATCTCTTCTCCTCCATCTCTTCATCTCGCTGGGATTTGCGGAACGCATGTACATGTGATTGGCATGTTTTCAAGTTGCAAGGTCCCAGACTCATACTGTGATGTCAAGCCATGTGGAATCCAGTTAGGGGCCTGGACATAAACAAGTTTTTTGAAATTTTACATACACATACACATTTAATATGTGTGTTTTTATGTGTCTCTGTATTCACACATCTCATGTATATTTAGGGGTGTGCAAGGTAAATTAGATAACATTTGAAGGAAATAAGACTACATATAAAAGACACTTTCAACGTAATACCAGCAGCCAATAAAGGGGCCATAGTCTATCACCACAGAATCAGCATACATGATTAAAACAGTAAAATTAGCAATTAATAGATGAACGCAGATACAAAGACCCTTCAGTTTGATCCCATTTGCCATAAATAAGGAAGTTAACAATTATTAAGTCTGGTTTTGAATAAAAATTATTTTCTAGACTTTATATCCCACAGGGCCAGCAGGTGGCATAGTAGTTAAGACACTGGACTCACACATGGCTGACCACAATTCTAGTCCAGACCCAGAGGCTTGAAATTCACACCAGGTGTGTGCATGTGGGCTCAAAATCCCTGGAGGAGAATAGAGAAGAAGGGACTGCAACATGACCATACTCCCTGGGGGTGATTTCTCACTTCCTCTCTCTGTTTCTCTGGCAAGTACACATGCCCTACAGCAGAAAGGCTCTCAAAAATTTATATCCCAAGTATTTTTATTTATAATATCACTTTGTATTAGCTATTTTAGATTGAAATACAATAATGATACTTAGGAAGAAGAAAAAAAAAACACAAAGAGAACATGAGCAGGCAAGAAAAGATGTGAGAGTACTAATTACTAGCTTTAAGCATCTGCTTATCCTCTGTAATTCTTTCTAATTTTTTATTTCCTTATTTTGGTTTTTGGGTTCTTTATATATTTCTAACTGGCATATCCAGCTTAAGGATTTTATTGTAGCTTCCTAACTTGTATATATTTTCTCTTTTACTGGCTAAAACTAAGCTGAATGAAGTTTTGAATTTTTCCTTTAAGCGATTAGCTTAAAGAAGACAGCCAGCCACCGCTTGTTAAATTACCAAATGGAAAGTTTTCTGCCATTTATGATGATTGCTTGTTCTTTTATATTCCATTCAATTTGGGCAATTTTCCTGGAATGGTTCATTTTCCTTTCTGTTTTTTATGCACATACCACTATTTATGTTAGTGACATTATAGATGACTGTTTAAAAAGAATCTGTTTTTATCTATTTTAGATGTTTGAAATATGGTAATGATGTAACCATTGTGGTACAGTTTATGTAAGTGCTAGAAGCTACGATTTGGATTTATTTTCTATTAATTACTGATATAAATTTACTTTATAATAAATTTATGTGCAGAGATTGCTTTCATCCAATATTCTATAGCCATCACATAGTTTTTTCTTTACTATGCAAATTCTGATAATATTCATATTCTCTTTATCCTTCACTGCTACTTACTGCTGCCATCAATGTGGTGGAGAGGAGTGAAGTGCAGTTCTGAAGGGTCCAATTTTCATCCGAGCACCACCGTGTTCAATGATATAAGCTATATCCATTGGTGAATGCTGAAAAATCATAGGTGTGCCTATTGCTTAGGAAAACAATCTAGGGCAAGGCTGGTGAGTTCCACTTGGGCATTCAAGTGCTAAATTGAGCTCAGTAAAGTTGGCCATTTCCCTGCAGCCACAAACTTCTGGCAGATGTAATAATGCAGGTGTCACCTTAGCTGGAACACTCCCTTTGAATGTCCTCTCCTACACATACTAGTTTCTATTGACTTTTGATTTAACTTGCTCACGAAGCATGGCAAAATCAGACAAGAACGTTTTGTGCTTATGTTTGATGGAAGTTTCCGGGTGAAAAGTGTCACCTAAGAGTTGTTAGAACTTAGGTATAAGAGAGAGAATGGTATATACTTCACGTTTTGATGATCCTTTAGAATATCTGGTAGAAAATAGTAACAACTTTAATCTTAAAATATTAAATGTAGACATAATTTAGGAAAAGAAAACACATAGCCTGTGTATGGGATATCACTTATTGTGTTTGGATGTAGAAATGAAGATGAAGATGGTTCAACACTTTAGTAGAACCACTGATTTGATTTGCAGAAATTGGTTTTATGTTGGGAACCAGCAGTTGGCGTAATGGCTATGTCGCTGGACTCCCACGTGGCCGACTGTGGTTTGCGTCCCGGACCCGGTGGCTTAAAACTCACGCAGGGCGCGTGTGCGTGCGTGCCCAAGATCCCAAGAGGAGAATGGGGGAGAAGGGATTGCGGCGTGACCATCCCCCCTGGGAGGTGATTTCTCGCTTTCTGTCTCTATGTCTCTCTCTGTCTGTCTGGAGAGCGCACGTGCCCTATAGCAAAAACCTCTCTTAAAAAAAAAAATGAAAGAAATTGGTTTTATGTTCTCTCACATATTTCTAAATCTCAGTTTCACTCAAGTAAAAAAGCAAAACAACACCAAAAACCCTCTCTATTTAGTTTAGTAGATAGCTATGTAAGTAGTTGAATATATAATGTACTACCGTTCTATGGCTTCAGTCTTTATACTGCATGCTACTTATATAATAAACTTCTCCAAAAATACTTAATATGAAAGGGGCTAGATGATAGTGCAGTGCTCTGCAAGGATGGACCAACATAAGTAGGTGCCAGCTCATATCCTGGGACCTTCCAGTTCACATCCCGGGACCTTCCTGTGCAACCAGGTACATGTGCTTATGTGCTCATGATCCAGGCTGGCTGAGGCCAGGGTGGAACACAGTGTGTGGACCCTGTTGGGGATGTTTGCTTTTGTCTTTCTTTCTCTTTGTTTCTCTCTCTTATGGAAGAAATAGAAGAATAAACTTTAAGAAGAGAAAAAAGAATATTAAAAGTTAGGGTTTACATGAGTTATTTTTTCCTCTGTAAATGAGTATTAGTGTGGGAAATTCCATGCCACTGTGAACTACTGCCAAAAATACATTTTATTTTTAGCTTGCTTTTAAATTCTTTGAGATAAATGTAGAATATTTTAGGTGATGTCATAGACTTGGCAGAACTCTAATATTTTAAACTAATGATTTATTGAATTAGATATAACATAAAATTCTACATAAAAAATTTAATGTTTTAAGAACCATTTAATTTATTGTTTAAGTAGTGTTTTCATAGTTTTGACAAATAATTGTGTATTTTTGAAAGTGTAAGAGAGCACTTGTGATTCTGGCATAGGAAAGATGAATATTTTACTTAAAAGGTTTTCAGAGTAATATTCAGATTATTTATAAAAGACGTATTACATATTTTTATATATTAATTATTTTGTTTAATATTTTCAAAAATGTTGATTTAAAATGACACACAGAATGTGTATGCATTCATCTATTAAGTCAATAATGAATTCATTATCCATATGCCATTATCTCTGATCTGAGTGTTAATTTTATGTATTTATTTGATGGCATTTCTCTTTATTAGGAGCTGTTATTAGACCAAATTATATTTGTCCATCTGTTCAGCCATTAGCATCAGGTATCTCAAAAAAGTTCATGGAGAATTCATGCTATACAAAAATACTATGTAGATTACAAAATTTTTTGCATTAAAATAAACCCAGACTTTAGTCCATATTTCCCCAAACTTTTTCAAGTCCCCTCATATTTATTGGGAACCTA